CCAAAAGTTTATGTATTCATTAAAATAAATTTCATTGGAAAACAGGTTAGATGAATTCAATACTATTAAAAAGAATTTCAGAGCTGCTAAACTTTTATTATAAGACAGGATGTTTGAAATAATAGCATTCTGTGCTAAAGTCTTAAGGTGAAGTCTAAGGATTAAAGTTCCCTTTTTTCTGATGTTCGAGTTGATTGTTGTTCAGTATGGCATATATGACAAACATATATTTGAGTCAAACATGGCTTTTTAAAACGGATGCAACCAGTAGTGTTGCAAACAAAGTTAGCACTATATTTCTTAATGATCTAAAGATTAAATTGAGAGAACACAGTTTTCTTAAATATTATAATGTTTAGAAGGTTTTTTTAGGACCGTCTTAGTAAGTATGATGGTTCTAGTCGTACTTGCTCTAATGTTTAAAGGTGCAATTTTATGCCATTATTGAAAATTTTGATTTTAAAAATCTATATACCATATAATCAACATACATTTTCAATATGAGGCAGTGTTTATGCAGTATTTAACAAAACACTGTGCTGCCAATAGAGTTCAGAAGTGGATATTCAGTTTACAGTGTATAAATTTAAAATATGCATCCCTTTAACAATGCTTTGTGTTAGCATGCTACAAATCAAAATGGCGCTTAATATAAAAAGCTGGTTTAGGGAAATTTAATGAAATCCTGTTCATAAATGTAATGCACATGATGTGTACTTTTAAGTTTTAGTTGCTTCATGTTTACACTCAGCTGTTTAACATTATTAAAATGTAATTTTACTTCATGCTATATTGTGGCTTTGTGTTTCAACTAATGTTCACCTTTCTGTTTTTGCACCAGATAAGAATCAGTTTCTTGAGAATAAATTTTTTATCTTTCTTAACTTCAGAATATTAAATTTGGAAAATCTAAAATTGTGTGTTATGTGGCTGTAAATTATGTACACGCTGTAAAATAAGATTGTCACTGTTACGTGGGATTATAATTTCTAAATGTTACTCATTGAAATGAGCATACAATAAAAAGCATTTATTGCACTTCAAGGTTGTACAAATTTATTTAAAGTTTTGTTGTAATGTTCATTCCTATTAAGAGACTTTTCACTTAAAGTTTCTCTTAGGCAATTTGGTCTGCAGTCTAACGTGTTGTAGAATTTTGTGCGTTTGCAACAATATGACTTAATAACTTAAACAATTATAATGACTATGACATGATTATTCCTCAAAAATATAAGTTTTTGCTAAAACCATGACAGAATACTATAAAAGTGCCCATGTTAAGATTTGATATTTAGTATTATAGAGAAAACTAAAAATTCTTAACCTGCTTAAGTAACACAATCTTGATAAATGAATCTAAAATAATGTTCCTAATAGAGCAATGTACATTTAAAAGGAAAACTATTAAGTCAAGTATTTGGGAAAGATTTCTGCAAATGAGCATAAAAATAATCTGCTATATTCAAACTAGTCACCATTCAGTAGAATTCATGTACCTAGATATATAGCACTATTGCTTAAGACTCTGTGAGTTTGGTTAATTATTCTTTAATGATGTTTAAAAAAAGAATATGTTAGTCATTACATGTTAGACCAGTGCTTTTTTAAACTTTAATATCTATAGAGTTTGCCTAGGCTAGGAATCTCATTAAAATGTATCAGAAAATACATATTCTGATTCAGCAAGTGTGGGATGGGGTTTTCAATTCTGCATTTCTAATAAGCTCCCAAGTGTTTCCACCATAAGAGTAATAAGGTGTTAGACAAAAACTCCTCAGTGTGTTTCTGGTACACTTTGGCAACTTTGTTTAAACAGATAGCTATGGGTGAGTCTACAGAGGTACTCTGTACTAGGGACATGGCATTCGAGCTGAGACATGAGCTGCAAGAAAGACCAAGTCATGTGAAGATCCTGTGGAAGAGCATTCAAGGCAGAGAAACATGCAAATACAAATAACCTGAAATGGAACCAGCTTTGGCTGGATCATGGTGGGGGAGACTGATGAGAGATGAAACCTGTGAGAATTTGGAATGGGAAACCATTGGAAGATTTTAAGAAAGGGAATATGTGATATGATTTATATTTTGAAGATCACTGTAGAAGCTGTGTTAAGAATGTATTGTAAAGGAGCTGAAGGAAATAGGGAGCCATGTAAAAAAGTTATTCCAGTTATTCATGGTTACAGTGGAGCTGGAGAAAAATAGGTGGGTTTTCTTTCTTTCACTTATAAATTGGATCTAGAAAACCTCATTCAAGATAGAACAAATGAAAACTTAGCTTATGTTACAAACAAAAATTGTCTTAAAAATACAAATTTTCCTGGCACAGACTTATGACAAAACAGATTTCACCTGAAAATGCAGGTCAAAATGCCATCATAAGGAAGAGAAATAATGCGGTAATTATTTTAAAAGCTTTTTCCCAGAACAGTTCAGGACCATTTTGTGGAAATGGATTTTTCTGACTTTCACTTCTAAGTGTCCTGTACCATGGTGGAAAGGAAAGGATTGTTACTGTCAGTTATTCGGGTATGGCTCTCAAATTCAACTCATGCTTATACAGGACAACCACCAATTTGAAACTTGAATTGCCCTTAAAGATATGTATGATAGAGCCCTACTGGAGTGGCTCAGTCGGTTGAGTGTCATCCTGTGCACCGAAAGGCTGCCTATTCGATGGTTTGATTCCTAGTCAGGGCACATACCTGGGTTATGGGTTCGATCCCTGATTCTCTCTCTCTTCGCCTCCTCTCTCTAAGCATGTCCTTAGGTGAGGATTGAGAATATATATATATATGTATGATAGACATGTTGTATAACTTTTATTGCAGAAAATTTTCAACCACATATAAAAATAGAAGAATATAATGAACCTCTATAGTATATAGCCACCACCCAGCTTCAACAATCATTTTCGTGGCCAGTTTTGTTTCACTTATATTCTTCCTTACTCCTCCATGCACTCACCTACCCAACTGATTTATTACGAAGCCCCTTAATCTCACTGTTTTAATTTGAAGTAAATCTCAGACATCTTTTAAAGAATTTTTGGAAGAATATATAGCAAAATTCTTAATCTTAACTATGCCTAGCTTACTTCCAGAAAAAGTGACTCAACTCACATAAAGTCAGAAGAACAAAAGAATCCTCTTGTTCAGATATTTGACTATTTCCCTTTGTTGTGAGAATTTAAAAAAAAAAAAGCTAATTAGACTTTGCATTGTATCCAATAAGGTGTTTTGGCTAATAAGTCTTCTTTTGGAGAAAATGCAGAACTAGATTAGTATTCTAGAATATCATTGGATTAGGGAATGTTTCCAACTTTGTTCAGTTCCACTCTGTTCCTCCAAAATAATTAGCTTGTAAATCTGATACTGGTTTAAGGAGGTCTCTTAGAATCTTGGATCCTAGATAAGAACTCGCTAGTGATAGTAGCAGTTTAGAGGCCCTGGAAAAGAAATTGTGACAATTGTAGGGTCAAAACTGTAGCACTAGATAATCCCAAATGAAAAACATTTTCACCTGCCTTGTTCCAGTTGTTAAGCCTTTCTCTTTGAACATTACCCAAATAACTATTTCAAAGAGAGCTCTGCTTCATTTTTAATTCTGTACCAATTGGCAATATTTAAGCTATCCCATTTAGCCCATAATGTAAGTAACAGTCACCTACCATCTGACTCCAAAACCTTGTCATCCTAGTTCCAAATAACACCTACGCATTATAACATGGTTGGCTCATTGGACTCCTTTAGGGAAATGCCTCATAAAACCTATATATTCTTCCATTTTCAGAAATTGGTCTGACTTGTTATATCTTGGCACACATGAGTTAGGAGCGTTCAACACTGATTATGTTAGCAAAACAGATATTGAATTACAGTATGATATTGCAAAAGCTATCCCTTAACATAAAGGATCTCTGGAACATAAAATTTAATAACAAAAAATTATTTCAGTGTAATGGGATGGGAAACCAAAGACCCTGGACTTAGCATCTCATCTACAAGAGACCAATCCAAGAAGATTACCAAGACTGCCTGGCTATCAATTATTTCATATAACAATTCTAGTGTTCCTTTGTAGACTCAAAAGATGTATGTCTTATTTGACACAATAGTAAAGGTTTTATTAAAACAGATGCAATTATTTATTACTTTATTTAAAAAACATATTTACTATTTTATCCTAGGATGGGCATGAAATATTTTGTATTTTTTATTGGACAGAAAGTACTATAGAAATCCAATAAATTTAGTAATGGTGTGTGGTGGTAAGTCTTCTTACTTAGTCAAAAAAATGATGTCTACAAGTCATCTTTGTAGATTAAAATAACCAGAAAGAAGTGAGAATGGATTTTTGCTTAATCTAAATTTCAGGTAAGATGAAATTTTTTAAGCTTCATTTTGATCCCTTTGGACTGTTTGTGTTAAGGAAAAATATTAGTTAAATTACTATTCCAAGGATGGGAAGAATGCTTTATGGAATCATATTTACAATAAATGAGTT